GTGCTAAATTATACAATGGACTATACAAATGGCAGTCAGTCTAGCTTGATGTTGACCTGCATATTGGCAGTTTAGTGGTTCAATCCTAGATGGGAGTCGCACCCTTTTGATCGTCGGCGTCACGAATTTTGTGTCAACATCATCATCATCGTACAGCGAAATACAGTGAAGCAAAATTCACGAACTCTGCCAAACTCGCAATGCATACAGGGTTAGTGGTAACATTTAAGGTGGACAGGGGTTGGATCTATTTTGAGGGAGGAAGAAGAAGGTGAGCTACTATGGTCAACACACAGAGGACGCAATCGAACTCTGCATACATTCTGACCTGATAAGATACGACAACAAGAACGCCACTGCTGTCGGTTCGCTGCCATATCCTTCATTGTCTCCAACCAACCAGTTGTGAAGTCTTTCGGACCCCAACCTGGAAGGCGAGAGACACCTATTCTACCTAATGACTCTGTGCATTTCTTCATACCTGGTCTCCAAATCATCTGTTGACCTCCATGTGGTTTCCTCCAGTTCGGATTAGCTACAGCGGAAAAGCGCGGTGCAGCAGACGATGGCTGGGCATATGCAATACGTGCCCTAGCCAGCGAAGCTACTAATCTGAATGCGGAGTGCTAACAGGTTTTTACCTGATAGACTCCCAAACACACGACGGCTTACCTCCACGTTACTAACCCGTTCGCTCCATCCAATGTGGGCTTAACTGCGTAAACACCGATAATCGAAAACTTCTAGTCAACGGATATCTACTCGCAAATTCAAGGTCTCACGACCATAAGGCAGAACTGTACGAACAGTGGCACAATATACACGACCTTTCAATTTCAGTGAAACGTCGCGTCTACGCCAAAGGTGTTTCGATCGTGCGTATGCTGCTCGAGCCTTGGAAATGCGGGCGGTTATCTCTTATGCTGCGTCATTGGTCAAGCAACTACCTAAGGAATAAAAGTAATCCACCACGACTAAATTCTGGCCATTTAGTTTCATAGCAGGAGTAGAAAAAAACCAGTCCTGCAACATCACTTTGCACTGTGAAGGTGCAAAGCACATACCGAATGTGGCAACTGCACTATCAAGTGCGCTTTGCGCGTCCTCCAGACAGACGATGTCATCGGCGTATTCTAACTCGTACAGCTTTTCTCCAGCTGTCCATTCAATACCTACGTTTTGGAGCCCCCTTAGTGCGCTCTCCAGTATTTCGTCTACAACGAAATTGAACAGGAACGGCGAAAGACGGCACCCTTGACGAACGGCCTACTTAGTTTGTTGTAGACTCTTACACGACCGAAGGTATGTGAGTACAGTGACCTCAGTAGGTTAACGTACTTCTGGGGCATTCCTTTTCGGAAAAGGGAGCCTATCAGAGTTTCGTGGTCAACTGAGTCGAAGGCTTCTTTCAGGTCAAGGAACACTGTGATCGTTGGCCGACGGTGGGTATGACGTAGCTCAAGGATCTTACACAACGTAAAAATTTGATCAATACTTCCACGGCCAGGCCGGAATCCGGCTTGCTGTTCACGGATGTTGGTCTCTGATCCCGCAGTGGTTTTCGCAATTGTTGCGGGATCCTTTCTTGAATATGGGAACGGTCAGTGATTCTCCCCAAGATGAAGGATTGTCTTGCATCCAAATGTTGCGCAGTAGGGTAGTAATAGAGGTTATGAGGTTATCACCTCCCATCTTGAAAGAGTGGGAAGGAGCTCATCCGGTCCTGAGCCTGAATGCAAGACCAGACTTCTACTTCCGTTGGAGAATCGCATGACACTGCGCACAGGGTTTCAGTTGGAGATGAAGCAGCCTGGTTAGCACTAGGCCAGCTGAAGTATTCTGCCCAGCGATCGAGTCTTTGATCCCTATTGTGAATAGCTCGTCCCATCTTATCGCAGACTGTTCGCCGACCCCCGTATTGCATATCAGTCAGAACAGTCTTTGACTATTCCCTGATGCAGCTGCTACTCCCATTTAACTAGCTGTTATTGCCCACCAGTTCTCACGGTCCTTCTTGAGCTGACGTTGTGGATGCCACCTAATTATATTTTGATCCTGGCAGGTCGGGATTTGTCGGTTTTGTCCCATCAGGGCTACTGACTCCTGAGATATCCAATGCCTCCAGCGGGTTTGAGGCTCAAACCCACAAGCAACATTCGCTGGGGAACGTAATGCCCGTCTACATCACCACTTTGGGGCGCACTTAGCTTACGTACCGGCTCTGACTCAGAGTGCATGAACCGTTGGAACAGATAGTGGGTGATGAGCTATCCGAGTTTGCTAGTTTGTCGCCGATCAGTCAGTCGGAGAGTGAACTGCATCAAAACTAATGCTTGATCAGACTCAACGCAGGTGGTCCAATAGGACCTGCAATTTTCCACTGAGCCACACCAACGATAACTTACTGCTATGTGGTCAATTTAAGTTGGCGGACCAGTTGAACTGGAGCGCCACATTGCCGTCCGCCGAGAGCTGCGTCGAAAGTTGGTGCTTGATAGGAACAGATGATGGTCTGCGCAGAACTGAAGAAGTCGATCGCCGTTATCTGTTCGTTGGCTGAACAGAGCACAACTACCGCCTAGACAAGCTTCTGATACGCTCAGTTTTCCAACCTGCGCGTTGAAGTCACCTGCTGGCACAACTATGTCGGAGCTTCGACTGATCCGAATGGGAACTGTGAGTTCATCGTAGAAAGCGTCCTTTTCGGTCCCAGAACTGCAATTGGTCGGTGCATATGCTGATACGATGAGCAGACACCTTTAGGTGTTACTTCCCTTCCGGACGCTGATTGAACGAACCCTGGAGACGCACTGCACATAAACGACTGTTGACGGTGATCCAATCAATAAGAGAGGACTCCGCCCTGTTACTGAGTACAATACCTACCCCGCGCTGACCTACTGAACGAGCTTCATCGTCGCCTGATGTGCGAAGAACGTATCTCGTCGTCAAATCTGGCTCGCTCAAGTGGCTTATAGTAGTGGGATCCTGGATTCGAGTTTCCGACACGCAACAATAATCGATTCCTAAGGATTCCATTGTCCGAGCCAGACAAGCTCGTTGACCTAGCTGCATCAAAGTCCTCACGTTGAAGGCCCCCAGGTTCAGTGATTGACGAGACTTTAGAATCTGCGATCCATTCCGTGGTAAATTACTTACAGTGCTATTTGGCAACGACCGTTGGCGAGCGACATCCAAGTTGCTTAAGGGACTAATACAGGTCGGTAGAAGGGGTAAAGGAATAGGGTTGGGTACAGAAGAAGAGTTAAACAAAGGTTGGATGGGATATCTGAGCAGTAGCCCACTTATCACTANATGAGCTATTCAAGCTTGCTGGTTTTGTCGCCGACCAGTCAGTCGGAGAGAGAACTGCATCAAAACTAATGCGAGGTCAGACTCAACGTAGGTGGTCCAATAGGACCTGCAATTTTGTACTGAGCCACGCCAACGGTTACTTACTGCTACAAGGTCGATTTGAGTTTGCGTACCAGTTGAACTGGAACGCCACGT